GCAAGTCAAGCTGTGTTCCTCTGCAGTTTACAAATCTGGGGGCAAGAAGCAGAATTTGAGGACAACTCCAGTTCACTGCTATTCTCAGGAAGAAGGAAGATTTCTCCCTTGAAGCTGGCTGAAAACAGATGAAGAGTCTGCTCTATCTTGCACGAGCTCCATGTGCGGGTGCTTTCCTTGTGCCAGAAATGCTCACCAGAATCAAAGCAACCTTGCAGAGCTGGTCCATGAGCTGGGCTTAGTGTGAAGTTTGTGGTCTCTGCTTTAGTCCTTCAGAAAAGACCCCGCACCTGAAAGCCTGAACCCTTTTCTGTGTTCAAGAGCTGTGTGTAAGAAGTAGTAGGATGTCTTTCCAGGAGGCCAAGTGATGATGGTCAAGTGCTTTGCCAAGCAAAAGCTCAATCTTGGCAGGAGGAGCCAGTCTGGAGCCATCCCGAGTTACCTGAGTAGGAACAGTGTCCTGAACTGGAAGCCAAGCACCAACTGCACCTTGCAAGGGTTGCATTTCAATCAAGGGTGTTTGGATGTTTTTTGGGTTTGTTTTTTTTTTCCTCAGGAAATTGTGTGTGATATTATTTGGGTGAATGACAAATATTACTCCTTCTCTAGAATTGGAAACTAAAATTTCTGACTGTTTTTTCTTAATTAATGAAACTTTTTGCTCAACTCTTTCACATGCAGAGGCCGCCTATGCCTTTGCAGGCAGAGCTTAGCTGCTACAATACTAACTACAGGAAGTGATATTCAATAAAGGGAGGACACTGCAGCAACCTACTTTCTGAATAAGATGCATAAAAAGTCAGCAATGGAAAGAGTGTTTCCTGACTGCCAGGGAAGCCAGACATTGATCTTGCAGGAGGTGACTGGTGGTGTCAGCTCTTACTCTGCCTGTTCTCTCTTCCTTACTGCCCTTCAGATGAAACTGCTATTCCTTACTAGCATTTCATGATGAATGGACTTGCATGACATTTTTAGAGCTGCTGGTCAGGAAATGTTGACTGAGTGCATGCTTGTTTGCTATCAATGAGGAAAATACCCAAACAAACTCACAGTGCTTCCCTCTTTCTTGTTTCAGCCCATGGTGCACACTGATGTGCAGTCCATTGAAGGAATATTGAAGGTGGGTACTCTTCAATAGCACATCTCCATGGGAAAGCCT